AAAGAAGTAAAAAAGAAAGTGAAGGAAAACAGTTACTGGTAGATCCTGTGGCACAAAATAATCCTGTCATCTTTCAATGGATTTTGAAGACTCAAAGTCATTTCTAAGCATACTATGTACTGATACTTAATTTTCCTTGAATTATTGCTATTGATTGTTCATAAAGGTTGTTCTCTGTATTTTAATGTGGCATTGGATTCTGATATTCTCTTCACTATGACATATAAAAATTAAAAATGTTTTATTTATGGTGTTTTTGAAGTGATAAGAATGTTACTGAGAAAAACTAATCAAAATTGTGTATAGCTGAAGCATAATTTGAGATGTAATGGATGAATGTAGAAGTTAAATTTTATTCATTGCAGAGTTGTAATAGTGTTATATATATATTTTTTACATTTTATTTTTGTCCTGTGTCTTCTGATTTTTCTGAAAATACTCTTGTTCTCTTTTCTCTTGTAAAAAATGTTCATAATAATATAAACATTATAGAAGTATTTTTAAAAATAAACTGATTTATTAAGTTTATGCATCAAAAAGTTATTTTATTGTGTTTATATCAGGTTTCCAGCTAATAATTGCCCAATAATTTCAAATAAGTAGTTTAAACAAACACTGCCTTACTTCTTAACTTGTGCAAGAATAGATGCCATGGAAAATGTCTATATAACAGTATAAAAAATATATAAAATAGGTGAAAACATGTACGACAGTAACATAGAGAAAAGATTGTCAAGATAGTCAAGAAAAATAGCTTTCTATTTAACCTTTGTAATTGAATGAAAGGCACATTATTGCATACTGATTATTAAGTTTCTTCATGAAGTTTGATTAATTTGCCTATAAATCTATCTCATATATGAAAATCATAAGGAATATAATTTAGTCATGATTCATTAAGAGGATAAACACATAAGCACACATGTCTGGAAGTGATTTTGTGGTTCATTTGTTCCCTAAAAATCTAGTGGTCCTTTGAAAAAGGAGAATGAATTTTAGATTGGCTTCCACATGCCCTACTTTGTATTATTTTGGTAATTTGGATAGTTAACTACCTGGGTTAACTATAATGTAATCGGCTAAGCTAACCAAGCAGCATCTAAAGTGTCTGGGTTCCCACGACTGAGCTCAAGATTGGTTCTGAGAGAGACAGAAAGACAGATGGAGAAGGGAGGGTGGAAGACAGAAGGAAACAGAAATATGGAATGGTCTTTCAAAGACTGGTTTATTCAGTACAGTTTTATTCCCTAGAAATTTCTAGACAGTCTGACTTTTCTCATTTTTCCCTTACATTTGTCTGTCAGGTTTATTTATAATTCTGTTATTAAATATTTAAAAAGCCATAACTGCCCAGAATGCTGTTGGGAAGAAATAATAAATTTTGTTGAAATTCTGTCGAACCTAATTAAATATGAACCATTCACTATTTAGTTTTACCTGTTGGAAAAATGTTTAGTGATTTAGAAAATACAATGTACTAAATGATACTTAATGTTTCTTTAGTGGTTAGTCATCTTCCAGTTGTTTTCAATGTTTAGCTTCTTTTATGAAATTTAACTTAAAATCAAGTAATGTGAGGTTTTAATTAATAAAGATCTTACATTATTTGATTGAGCTGACTAAATCAAACTTTATTATCTTGTAAAACCTGCCTTTCTTGAATTTCAAATAGAAGGATACTAAAAATATAATAAGATGTAAAAATACGTTTTGATAATTATCGTAATCAGATGTCTGACATTTGGGATATATCTTCATTATTGTTGCTCTACCCTTCATCTGGATGTTCACATTTGTCATTGATACATATCTTTGTCCTTCTAGCTCTTACTTCAGTATCACTATTATCAGACAAAATTCATGTCTTTATAAAATGATTATTCTTTGTATGTGCATTTAATTGCCTTTTTTCATGCCTTAGCTGATGTGTCCTTTTTTTAAATCTGAAATGCCTTGCTTGTGTGTGTGAGACTGGCTGAAATTTGCACGAACTCAGTATTACTACTTGTGAAAGTGACCCTTTCATAAATCCCTTTGCGTTTATAGCAGTAGGTAAAATGGCCCAGTTTCTCTCTGGCCCTTTTCCTCAAATGTGGATTACCCCTTAAGAACATCTTATAAGCTTTCATTTTAACAGTGTTCTTAGCTTGTAAGGTGAATCTGACCAGATTCTTGCATTCTGCTGCTGTTTCTCTTCCCCTTTATTTATTAGTCTCCAAATTAACACTTGGCTATTTTAATTTTATCTGCTGATTGGGATTATTGTGAATTGTGTCATAATGTTGTTCATATCACAGAGAGTTAAACACATGTAAGTTAATTGACTCCCAAGTAGAATTGCACACTTTTATATAAATTCCTCCCTGGATTTGATTATTTCGGCAAAAGCAAGTGCCCTTCATGTAGCTCAGATTTGCATTTAACCATCGCTTACTTGTTAATGCTAATTAAGAGCAGTCATTGTCTCATCTCACTACTGGTACTTACTCAGATCACAGTGTGTGTGGGGAACCTTAACGCGCTCACTCGTAATGCCATCTCGGTTCGTAGGAACCTGTCTCTGTTATCAGCGAGCATCGCTTGTCTTTCCTTTTTGTACTTTTGAATGTGTTTTTGGTAAAAGAGCATCAATTTCTACTATATGATGAAATGTTAAGTAATATTAGGTTATACACCAATATTTTATCTTCACAATCTGTACAGAAAGGATGGTTCTTACTTGGTGTGTTCAGTGTTTGAGAGCCAAGATTTGACTATAGAGGTTGCTTGGAGCTACCAGATTTACGTATCTTTTCTTAATAATAACTGAAGTAGTTAACTTAGAATGTTCTACAGAATGCCAGGAAATAGATTGTTGGTAACTTGCAATATAGAATGAGGTATGTGGGTTTACCACAAACTTAAGTACATGCGCATATGAACACATAAAACATGGGCTTAGTATTACTACAGAACTCTGTTCATTGGTCCAGTGGTGAATCCCATAGTGAAGATTGGCAAGGGAAGTTCCTTCTTCTTGGCTGGATACTCTGTTTTTATTTCCTAATTCTCCTTGTTCACTGATATCATTCATTTCATACCAGTGTATGAATGTAATTACTTCTGTTTTAGACTGAAAAGCAATTTTCAAATGTTCTTAAGTAGCTCCAACTGTTATCTTTTGCTACTCCATACATCCATGCTGATGTAAAAACAGGGATTATGGCCCCTATGGATGAAACTGAAAATTTCATGATGCAAAATTCAATGTTCTCTAGCAGAGATAATTATATTTTCATACAAGAAGTAGAGTAGGCTCTCCATATAGTTTATCAACATCTGTATAGATGTGATGAGTCCTTCTATAAATTTATCTCACACATATGAACACACAAGCTACAGTGGGATCATTGTATGAGATACATTATTTTAAAACCTTTTTTTTTTGTTTTAACAGTTTAAAGAGACTTTAATTTTTTTTACAGCATCCTCCCAACCTGTCTTTATCCAATAGTAACTACAACTATGCCTCTTCACTTTCTTTCTTTTGGTATTTTATTCCAGATCTCTGAACAAATAAATGTACTGCTGCTTCTTGATTATTCAGTGTTAGGCATTACTTTGGACTTCCCACCGTGAAGGGAGGGATTTAGCTTTCTTTTGCAACCCCCCCACTACATACACACATATTTTTGTCTTCCATCTTGTATATATTAAAAATTAGCCCCGGCTGGTGTAGCTCAGTGGATTGAGCACAGGCCTGTGAAGCAAAATGTCTCCTGTTCAGTTCCCAGTCAGGGCACATGCCTGGGTTGCAGGCCGGGTCTCCAGGAGGGTACACATGAGAGGCAACCACGCATTGATGTTTCTGTCCCACTGTTTCTCCTTCCCTTCCCCTCTCTTTAAAATAAATAAAAAATATTTTTAAAAATTAAGTATTATTTGTTTCTATGATTTCTTATGTTCCTATCATAGATTCATTTCTGAACTCTCAATCAGTTTAAATTTAAAGTAAGCAAGTTATTCTATTAATTTCAACTTCTTGGAGATCTTTCCCCTAGAGTCTTTTGACGTACATTCAATTAGGTCTCCTTGTTTCTTAGGTTCAATATGTAGTTCACATCTTACTGATCCACTTACTGTTTCACCTTTCTCTTCGGTTGGGTCTCATTAGCAAGACCATATTCTGTTTTCTTATCTACACCTTCATTTGGGTGGAGCGTGCCCTCCAATAACTTTTTGTGAAAGGTGCATGTGAGGTAAATTAAAATGCTTTTTTCCTACTCTCAGCATTGATTTGTAATTTTCCCACATATTGATTTCTCTCTCACTCTTGCTCTCTCTCAAAACTTAGGGTCTTCCTTTGTCTCCAGTGTTGTAAAATTTTACACGACACTCCGTGACTTGGGTCCATTTGTATACTCTGTGGGTCATTTCCAAAGAAAAAATTGTGATTTTCAATGATGGGAAACTTACATGATTCATGTATTTGATGATTTCCTCCCCTCTATTTTCTCAAGTCTCTTTCTAGAACTTATTATTCAGATGTTGAACTTTCTGAGTTGATGCCTTAATTTAATTAACTTTTCCATCTCTGTCTTTTGCCCTACATTATGGGATATTTTCTAATCTTTATCTTTCAGCTCACCTACTGAGATTTTCATTTATGCACTCATATTTTTAGAGTTACTTATTTGTTATTCCTTTTTGAAGCAACATATTCTTGTTTCATCGATGTATTTTTATAAGCTGAAAGTATTTAAATATTTATCAGTTTTTTATTTGCTTTCATATAATGTTTCATTCAAGTGGCTTTTGTCTGTGTATTAATTTTGTGCTTGGTCTTTGATGTTTGAGGCTTTCTTCATATATCTAGTGACCTATGAAAAAGATAATGGAGCACTATGAAAGCTGATTAGAAGCCCTGTGCACAGGGGTAGATCTTATCACTTGAGGGTTTCATTGTAGGATAATATTGCAGTACTGTTTCACTGAGAGACTTTTCATATCTCTATCTTTAGGTGTTTTGCTTCTTCGTGACCTGGTCAGATTCCTGGAAGATAAGGAAGACATAAGCCAAGCTGCACTGAGTTCTGTAAGCCATGTGGGATGGTGAGGGTGGGTGGTGGGGGGAATGGGAGGCATCAACATCGAGTGTAAATGCTCCCTTGAGTGTTTGCAGTAAGGTTGTGCCCCTGTCTGCTTCTATGCTTGGCTTCCTGTATTTCCTCACCTTGATGTGAAGTGGGAAAACCAGGCTTCCCAGTGGTGTGTGCTGCAGACTGACCCTTCCGTTCTTCTGCAGGAGCAGGGAAGGAGGGTTACCAGCATGTGTAGACTAGGAAAGGAGAGCGGAAGCTCTAACAACTTCTAAAACAGATTTAAGCCTCCTTCTGTTTTTGATATTCCCTTCTCTCTCACTTCTAAAGGTAACCCATGGTACCACTCTGGAGCCTCTGGGGGTTGAGTGATAAAACTATTTTCCCCCTTGGCTTCTCCCCACCTTTGGCTTAGGATCAACATTTTTGGCTTTCTTACTAGTTTCTGCTTGTCCTTCCACTTCCCAGGCTTTTATTGCCAGTGTCTTCTCTTGATCTCTTTTATATCATACATTCATTTTTAGTCCCTCTTTCTTTATTAAAATATAATTTTTGAATCTTGCCTTTCAACAAAAATTATGTTTTTATATTTTCTCTTGTGAATACTTCTATAGCAACATTTTAATGACTACATAGGAATCTCACTTTAGAGATCTAACTTATCTTCTGTGGTTTAAAAAAAAGGTTCTTATAAGCTGTATTTTTCTTATAAAAATCTTCTAATAGATGCATTTTATATCATTCTTTAACTAGAATAAATTTTAAATGTAAAAAATTGTGGCTCCTTTACAGTATTTCTTGTAAAGTGACATTCATGAGGGTATTTCTCTTCTAATGTAGCCAGTCTCTGTAAACATTTCATTTAATAACTCTTCCCACAAATGATAAGTTCCGTGTGTTTAGTTTATTCTATTTGCAGGCTCTCTCTGGAAGGGGGCAGGTACTCGGTGCATGTTTGCTAAGTGGACATATGCATAATAAATGAAATTTTATCATTTTATTTATAATTTCCAGGACATAAGTTTTAAATATTTTATTTTCATTACTTCTCATTACTTCGAGGTTATTTAAGCCATAACATTAGTGATATTGAGAACCAGAATTCAACTAATTCCTTACATACAGAAATACATAACTGTATGTTGAGGTATTACCATGCCTTACATACAGAAATACATAACTGTATGTTGAGGTATTACCATGCCTTACATGCAGAAATACATAACTGTATGTTGAGGTATTACCATGACTTACATACAGAAATACATAACTGTATGTTGAGGTATTACCATGCCTTACATACAGAAATACATAACGGTATGTTGAGGTATTACCATGCCTTACATACAGAAGTACGTAACTGTATGTTGAGGTATTACCATGACTTACATGCAGAAATACATAGCTGTATGTTGAGGTATTACCATGCCTTACATGCAGAAATACATAGCTGTATGTTGAGGTATTACCATGCCTTACATGCAGAAATACATAGCTGTATGTTGAGGTATTACCATGCCTTACATACAGAAATACATAACTGTATGTTGAGGTATTACCATGCCTTACATACAGAAGTACATAACTGTATGTTGAGGTATTACCATGCCTTACATGCAGAAATACATAGCTGTATGTTGAGGTATTACCATGACTTACATACAGAAGTACATAACTGTATGTTGAGGTATTACCATGCCTTACATGCAGAAGTACATAACTGTATGTTGAGGTATTACCATGCCTTACATGCAGAAATACATAATTGTATGTTGAGGTATTACCATGCCTTACATGCAGAAATACATAGCTGCAGACCTTCTAACCCTTTGATGCTCTGGTGTCACCAATGGCTGGAGGCATTTGTTTGCAGTTTTTAAAAGTAACCATAACACATGTACACTGTACACGTCTATTGTGTATATTGCACTTTGGCCTAGAATTTTATATTTTTAGCCCAAGAGTCTTTTAGATATTATTTTTGTTGACGTTTGATTTAATTATAGGCCTGCCGATATGTTGTGAGGGAGCTCAAATCAAACGCTGCTGTCAGGGTGACAGTTTGTGTAGTGACACACATGTGGGAGAACTTTGCCCCAATGGCCCGACACATAGCAGGTGTCAACTAACACATGCCCTTGTCCGACACCATTACTATCCAAAAGTAGTGGTCGGAAAAAAGGGACATGTGAAAACTGTGTTACACAGTGAAACATTGTTTTACTACTTGAAATGTAAAAAATAATACATTATTGGAACAATATTAGCTAACATTTTACCCAGTATTACTGCGTGACATATATATTCTGAGTTCTTGACATGAGGCAGGTGCTTATAATTATCTCCATTTTAAGGGTAAGGAAATGAGGCACAATGAGATTATTTATAAAGTTAGCCAAGGCCAGCGAACTGGTACGTAGCGAAGCTTGACGTTGAACCCAGAAAGTCTGTCTTTAGCAGTCGTGTGTACTCTAGTGTCTTCTGTCACAGATGTAGAACCATCGCTACTAACACAGGCAGGCACTTTGTGTGTAAAAGCTGATGGGGAAGACGTAGCTTTTGAAATGAATCTTAACTGTAACTAAGTTTTCATCTTCCTACCCATTTTTTCAGGTTAAATATTCCTAATAATTTGTTTAAAAATACATATTATACCTAAAGTAAAGAGGCTCCTAAAGTAAAGAGACTGCTGGAAAGAGTTTTAGGGCTCAAATAATCTCAGTTTAAATGCTGGCTTCATGATTTATTATTTATTATTATTATTTGTATGAAGATCACTTAAACTTTTAGCCTTAATTTTCTCATCTCAAAATGGGAAGGATCATATTTACCCACCGTACTATAATACAGAGTGTGAAAAATTCATAAAATAATGTCTCACTGAGGTCCTCACACTCAGATAACAGTTACTATAATTTAATGAAAGGATTATGAGAATTTCTATATTTTGTCTGAGACATATAGTTACATAGTTGTATGTATGTTATATATAACTGTATTATCTCTTCTTTTGAAAAAGTATAATTTTAATGTTAAAAACATCAAAATACCTGTTTTCTGTTTAAATCTTTACATATCTTGAAAATTTAATATGTTGTTCGATGTCACACGATTCTTTGAACGAGACTTCGGGCGGTGCCACAGGTGCTCAAATGCTGCCTCTGTCTTCTTTTCAAAGCAGGCTCCCTTGACAACATGCTGTTGCGAAGTTCAGGAAAATTAAACCTGGGCACCAAGAAAGGGGATGGTGAGAACACAGCCCCCACCCCTCGTCCAAAACTCTTGCGGTGCAGATGCCACCACCATTGTCCAGAAGACTCAGTCAACAATATTTGCAGGTTGGTCATACAAACTTTAAATTTTTAAATATATTTTTAAAGATTTCATTTATTTATTTTTAGAAAGAAGGGAAGAGGGGGAGAAAAAGGGAGAGAAACATCAATATGTGGTTTCCTCTTGTGCGCACCCTAGTGGGCATGTGGCCTGCAACCCAGGCATAGCCCTGACTGGGAATCAAACTGGTGGCCCTTTGGTTCACAGGCTGGTACTCGGTCCCCTGAGTCACATCAGCCAGAGTGGTTGTATAAATTATTAAAACCTAGTTTTAACAGAAACTCATGACTAAAGAACTATATGCTAATCTTTCCAAGAGCAGATTTGGGGGAAGAGCGCCCAAGCCCACTGACTCTCAGAGCGGGGCCTGAGTTTCGGGAAGTGCTGGGTTGCGTTTCCTCCTGCAGTGGTATCTGAGATTCTTCTGCCTCTAGGCGTCACACATGCACAGTAACATGGAGCACGTAGGCTCCTTATTAACAAGCAGAAACCAATGATTTTTAAAGACCCAATCCCTTAAATTAATTCCACAGCAGGAAGTGTGGTTTTTTGTTTCGTTTGGTTTTATTTTAACCATTTTTCATGCTGCATGTTTTGGAAAGAACACCTAAGATGATTGTTCATAAACTGGCTCCAAGAAGCAGAACAGTGATAGAGCCTCTAAGAGTCTACCAGATGGTAGGAATGACACTGTACTAGAGCATGGACTCCTTAGCTGATGATTGTGTTTGTGTCAGTATTTTCTAATACGTGAAACTGGACCGTTTGCCTCTTTTTTCCATACACAGCTTTAGGCAGCTGCATAAAGATGTGTCACTATGGCTTCATGTACCCACCGCTAGGTGAGGACAACAGTGGGAAGAGAGGCAGAGCCTAGTGAGGCCCCCGTGTGCCCAGGAAGAAGTGCTGAGTTAACCAAACAGCAGCAGGTCTCAGAAATTAAACTGTCAGGGAAGTCGGCCTCCAGAAGGATAATGGACCCAAGTAAGGAGGCGGGCTGCCAGGTTAGAAGTCCAGGCAGAATATCTGGGCAGCCATTTGGGGGCCTTTTTATCCAAAAAGGAGTATAAGGTTGAAAATATTCATTTCTTTCAGAAACCTTTTTTTAAAGTTTCTGTGAAGTGGAATTTGATACAAGCTCACCAGTCTATCATGAAATATATTACCCAAGAAGCATATATTAACTGAGGGATGCAAGGAGGAAAGTTGGGTATACTCATGAGTATATGTCTCAATTCATCAGCAAAACAGCTCAGCGTGGTAGGGAATGCGTATTTCTTACTAGGGATTTAGGATCCAGAGAGGCCTGGGAACTTGGCTCTCATATGATAGAACAAGGTTGGGATCACTGAGTCTTGAAGGATAAAATGATTCCAAAAGTCAGACAGTAATTCCTGGGAAACAGTATTTTTTTGTAGTAAATAGAAAAGTATCAGGAATTTTACAGTGTTTCCTGAAGAAAATTACCAGGGGGAAGCACACTAGGAGGATATCTTACTTTTTTTGTCTGAGTCTATAGTAATTAAGAATAAATCTGTGAGTGATGTTTAAGTCACAGTTCTGGTGATCATAAGTTTAGGCTTTCTCAGATTATCCCCCTTTCAAATATTTTGTTGTGTTTTCCTTATAGGCCACTGAAGTATCCTAAGTTGATTTGGAAGACAGTGTTCAGGCAGGGTTAACTGCAATGCAGATTCTCCACGGTGGGTAGAAAAAGCTTGGCCAGTTCAAAGAAGACAGGTTTTCTCGGAGTATAAGGAGTAGGGGATGTGGAAGGGGTTGAAACTGGTAATGGGAAGGATGACCAATGGCCTGATGGGCTCCGTGCAAATGTTAGTCTCATTCCTGAGAGCGTGGGAAGCTATTGGAGCAAATGTTTAAATTAAGCAGGAGTGGCAGTGGTGATGGATGTGATTTGATTTTCTTTTTTGAAAAGTTTCTTCTCTGAAGAGTATTGGATGCATTAGAGGGAGGCAAAAGCAGATTTGAGAACAACAGTTAGGTAAGAGAAATTGAAAGGTAGATTCAGGAAGGGCGGTTCATGTGAGAAAAAATGACCTGGACTCACAAGATGGTGCTGGTGCAGGAGAGGGTGCGTGTTCTGAAGAACTGTCTAGAAGGAAAGTTGCATGCTGCTGACTTGAATATCGGAGGGGCTTCACAGTTTGTGGATGTACATCGGGATGCATGGTATGAGCCTTCTCATGAAAGAGGACAGAGGAAAATAGTCAGGTTCCAATCTGGACATGTTGAGTGGAAGGTTTTTGACACATCCAAGTGGAGTTACCAAAGGGTAGGAGTAGGGTGTGTGTTTGGAACTCAGATAAGAGGTTGGAGAGAGACTACAGAGTGAATAAAACATTAGTCAGTTTTTGTGTGAAACAAACCAGCTCAAAATCACAGTGGCTTACACTAAGGACATTTATTATTATCATTAATATTTTTTTATTCCCGGGTCTTCAGGTGGGCTGCAGCTGTGTTGGACCATGCTGGCTTGGGTGTGCTTGGCTTCAGGCTGCTGCTGGAGTTCAGGCCTACTCCACAAGTTTCTTCCTTCTTCTCAGGCCAGCACCTACTCAGGGCATCTTTCTTATCTGGGTGAGAGGGAGCAAACTTTTAAAGCTTCTGTTTGTGTCACACCCTCTAACATACCATTTACCAAGTGAAGCGTCATAGTCAAGCTCAAAGCCAAGGAGACTCTCACTAGAGTGGGGCATGAAGAGTTGAAAACAATAATACAACAATCTAATCCACGGGAGCAGAACTGAGTCTTAAGGCATTTAATCCTTGGGTAAAGGAGAGTCTCCCTAGGACGCTCAGAATTAGCAGTAAAGCAGGGAGTGCAGGGTCACGGAAGCCAAGTTTAAAGAGTGAGGATGCTGTTAGAGGTCATATAGGGTAAGAACTGAAATACAGCCTGGCTGGTACAGCTCAGAGGATTGAGCACGGGCCTGCAAACCAGAGTATCGCAGTTCGATTCCCAGTCAAGGCACATGCCTGGGTTGCAGGCCAGTTCCTGGCAGGGGACACATGAGAGGCAACCATACATTGATATTTCTCTCCCTCTCTCCTTCCCTTCCCCTCTAAAGATAAATAAATAAAATCTAAAAAAAACCTGAAATACAGCAACCACATCCATTGACCTTGAGATATGCAGTTTAGAAATATTTAATGTGGAAGCAGAGACAAAAGCCACATGGGAATGGGTTGCGAACTATGTGGTTTCAACTTTGGATTTATGATAGCAAAGAAAACAAAACCACCGCCACCACCACCACCACAACAACAATAAAATACCCATCAGCAATAACAATGGGAGCCATTCCAAAAAATGGTGGGCTGTAATAGTCAACATGCATCAGTTAACTCACAGAATTCGACAGAAAGCATTTATTGAGCTTTCTATAAATACTAGTATGTTTACTTTTGCTTGTCTTGAATCATCACAGCATTCTTATAAAGGATGTAACAATATTTTTCAGGTGAGAAATCTGAGGCTCTGAGGAGTTAAAAATGTTTACTAGTCACTGTTCACACTGAAAAAATTGTGGCCACCATTTCAGAGTCCTGAACCCTTGCCTAGCCGCCAACCCCTGACACTGGTTCTCAAAGGAGCAAATATTAACTCTTGAGTAAAATGCACATCCATTTTTCTAATAATGATGTATTGACTCTAGTTGAATCTCCTGTGCCCAGAAATCAGTCTGGAGAAATTGCAGGGGCTACTTTGGTTTCTGTGCCTTACGACCTGGAAAAATCCAGGCCTTTCTGCTCCATTCCTGTAAGCCCACTCTCCACTTTTTGGCCTTCAAATCATACTTCTCATGCAATCCGTGTTGAAAGATAGCTTCCCTCCAATAAATTGTGCACTGATACTTTTCTGAAGTACAATAACAATGAATTATAGCCCTGGCAGGTGTGGCTCAGTTGGTTGGGTGTTTTTCTGCAAACCGAAATGTCACAGGTTTGGTTCCAGGTGAGGGCACATGCCTGGGTTGTGGGTCTGGTCCCTGGTCAAGGCACTTGCGGGATGTTTCTCTCCCTCTTTTTCTCCCTCCCCTTCCTTACCCTCTCTCTGGAGTCAATAAATGAAAAAAAAATGAAGTACAGATTATTAGAAAAATAAATTTACAAATACAAATTATGTGCTCCATTTTTTCTGTTTTCTATTATTTAAAGTCAACAGAACTAAATGTATTGCTCTACAAATTTCAATGTCTGTATTAACCTCCACACAGACCAGTAACAAGCTGTTTGCTGACCTCCAAGGGAACACCCTTTAAGTAATACTGCACTGAATCTTTCATTCCTAGGTACAAACATTTCTAAAGTCAAGGGTGTGCTTGCTTGAAGCTTAGATAAGCTTATGCTGTCTGGCCTGTGACCTTGTACCAGGGTGATTTTAGCCAAGCTGGGTGTCTAAGTAGATTTCATGTTCATTACCAGGCCTACTGTCCAAAAGAGAATAATCCAAAAATTGACCCAAATCAACAGTACATCTTACTTAAAAGAGATTCTGAAATCCCACATGGTAATTCAGAGAACATGTGAAAAGTTGAGAGGGACTTTAATCCCTTCTTGAGGGCCATCAGTCCCTTTACCAGCCAACACCAGGCCAAAGTCATTCTTGGCCATATTTCCTACCAGGTGCAGCTATGTCCGCTTCCAAAATCTTTGACTTTGGAAGGACTTCCATTGCTTAATGTTAGAGGATGTGGTGCAGATAAGTCATGCACTAGAGCCTTTTTTAATATCCATAATTCAGAATGAGGTGTGAAGCCATTATCCTCTCTCCCTCACAACACTATGTGTCTCCTGAATGTATTTCCAGGTGTTATTTTGCACTGTTAATCTCTCCCATTCCATTTCCGGATTCTGCTCCCAAAACCTCAGCCTATCACTATATGCCTAGAAAGCAGCAAAGTCTCCTTGAATTACTCTTTTTACGTGATTTTCACCATGCCAATATTCTGTCTTATTTTCCCATCCTACCAAGTGTAATCTC